ACACACACACACACACACACACATATATATATACTGTATATGTGTATGTGTGTGATATCCAAGTTTGCATTTAGTTTGAAATTTGGATTATTTTATAAATGCAATGAGCCACGATAAATGCAATTTCTAATATTTCTAAAGTGCTTCTTTATAATGAACATCGCTTTCTCAATACTTTACCCGCTCTATAACGCAGTGAAGGAGCTCCTGTATATAGTAAACAATCGATTCTCGAGCCATCGATATCAACCTAATCAGCACCAACGCCATGGACAGCACCTGCTAACGTTGCACGTAAGAAGGTTTACCTTAAGCAACATCCTAAGGTATAGTTCGGGGAACACACCTAGGAAAGGTATACCCCTAGTTAAGGTGTACCTTTAGAGTCTTCGTAGTGCGTTAAGAGACACCGTTATCGGGAAACGCAGCCCAGAACAGAGACGTCCAAAAAATATTCAGTGAAAACACTGTTTTAATATTCCTAGAAATTTTTTGTTAATCTATGCATGGAGAGTAGTGTTAATTTCGTTAACGAAGACTATGGCGAAAAATGTTCGTTGACTAGCTTTTTTCTTGCAGACTGCTCTACACGCCTCTACTACGCGAGCGTTCATGAGTGCGGTTGCCAGATATCAAGAGTTTTAATCCCCGAATCAGAGTTTCGCTGTTAAATTCATGCATTTTCTGCCCGGTGTGTTTGCTTATTTTAAGCAATCTGGCAACCTAGTCTGGAGCCCTGCTATATCATCTGAAGCCATTCCATATCTTAATGTGAGGGACAGAATTTAGTTTTACAAAAACTCATCTTCCTTCTGCTGCAGCTGTCAGTCATTCTCCGCTCAGTATTCAAACAGCACGTCACGTTCAGTTATGACAGTCAGCACGGTAAAACTCTCTCTCCAAGATGAAATATTCCCATTATAATACTTTAAGTTTAAGGAAGGAAGGAATTATCACAAACAGAAAGCGCTGATCAGATCACAGAGACAGAACAACAACACCCGGACTCTGTTTTAATCATTCT